TGTTGGTGTGTGTGTGTGTGTGTGTGTGTGTGTGTGTGTGTGTGTGTGTGTGTGTGTGTGTGTGTGTGTGTGTGTGTGTCAATTTAATAAGACGTACAAATTTTGCAAAATCAATAAAATACATTACAATTTTAACATCAATATTATTGAAATATTATATGTATGTACTTTTCGTTTGCTACTGCTAATTACAATTATAATGCTCAATAATCTGCAACATTATACACAAGACACAAAAGCGTTATAATAAATAACATATGTATTGAACGAAGAATACGAGTTATAGTACGCAGCCACGTGCTGCAAGACTAACGTATATTTTCGTGCTGAATCATAACATCCCTTCACCACAGATCAAAGAAATCTCATAGATGGCCCTCTTCCTTCTCAGAAATTAGACCAAAAGTACACATTCCATCAGGTGTCAGGGCAGTTTGAATTAAAAAGCCCAGTTAATGTCATATTTATACCGAAATATCCAAAATTTTAACTATTTTCTGTTTTTTTTAATTGGCCAGTGATTATTATATGTAAAAAAAAATTTTTTCCACACAAGGTGAATTCTTTAAGATTAAGATCTCAGCTAACACCTCTATATGGTGAAATTGTAAAAAAAAATTTTTTTTTCAAGTTATACCAAATTATTTACACTTCAATTTTCAGACTTTTTAAGTTAAAATCAATTTTATTTCTGTTTTTTTCTAAAAACAGAGCACAAAAGATGTCATAATCGAAAAACCAATTATACTATCTTAAAGTACACTTCATGAGCTTTAAAATGGTCACCTATAAAGTGTCGATTCAATTTCTTAAGCCTTTATTATTAACGATCAAAGTTAGAAACTCAAAGTGGAAATATGCATTTTTCAAAAATTAACTAACTTTGAAGGCGTGGTTTTCGTAAAATAAATTTTTCTAATTTTTTTGCCAAAACACGTATTTTAGGTAATCCCTTAAAATATAACATCCGTGTATCTATTTATTTTTTTTGCTTATTTTGTTCAAGTTTCGTCGAGTTTTACGAAATTATCAAAAATTCGTGAAACGTGTTACTTCAAGATGACGTATAAAATATTTAAAATTCTCAAAAAATATTTAAACACATGTACTATGTTGTAAAAATGGTCCTTTTTAACATCCAATTAGTTTCATGCCAATTGCTTTTGTCAATTAAAAGTTATAACCACTTCTAGCGCGGCGCGCACATTCGCGCGAGCCCACTTTCAGCGTAGCGGGTGGCTGACGCAGCGGCAATTGGAGCGTTAGTTAATAAATTCCTGTACACTCAATTTCCATTAAAAAAACAAGTGTCATATATATTTCTTATGTGAAATTTTCCGTTCTTTCGAATGGCATCATTAGTTTTTTGATAAAAATTGAATTTAAAAAGTTATTTGCAAAAAACTGCATTTTTGCACATTCATTGTTAAATAAAAAATTTAGCACAACTTTTCACGCGGACACATTTTGATATGTTGTTCTACACACGTTTCTAAATACGATCCAAAAGGAATCATGAATCGGAGAATTTTTCCGAAGTCAAAATCTAATTTGACTCCCCTAGTGATATCTAAGAGGGGATATAGAACAGTTCATAATGAAGAATGATGATAATTAGATATGAAATAATAAGTATTTATTTTACCTGTCGAAGTTTTCTCTTTATTATTATCAATTTCTGTCTCAGATTCTCCGTTAATAGATATCAAATGTGTTCTGTAAAGTGATAATGGTCTAACGGCATCTATTACAAATTTCTCCGTGGGTTTATAGCTTGGATTGATTTGATCGCTCGACGATGTCGGTGTCATGTAAGTTGATTTTATGTCTGACTGCTTTAACGCTTTTATTATCTATAGAAATTTGAAACACGCGCATCTTCATAAAAATTTATAGAATAATGCATTAATTAAAAAAAATGGGATTATTTTGGAATGAGAACCGTCAATAACTGACTAAAATTATAGTATAAAAGTTCATTTTTAAAATCAATAATTTACTATAAAAAATCGTTATTTATAAAAGAAATTTATAACAAAATTCAATTTAAAACAAACAATCGGCGATGAATCGGTATCGTGAAAATAAGAATATACATATTTTTTTTAAAGCAACAACAAAAATAACTGTTGTTTTAATAAATAAATCTTCAAATTATATATATAATAATAGATTAAGTTTTACGCCTGAACTAATTTGAATCTAAATGCAAATAATTAATTATGCGCCATTTCATATCGAGCAAAAAGAAATGAGATATAATGTTTGTTTTTAGCTTTTAGTTTATAAAATATCAGAGAGTTGGAGAGAGACGTTACTTTCGAACTATAACTAGAATGTCATCATACCTTTATATTATACGGATTCTTGATGACGTATTCGTATTGACTTGGCTGACAGTGCTGCCATGCGCTGAGTGATAATACTAAGTCATTCGGTAGAGAAACTTTTTTCGCATTTTTTAGCTCTTCGATCGGCACACCACACATCGCGAAATGCCGAGCATCATCGTCACCAATCACCGAGAACTTTACGTCTCCGGCAGAGATGGCCACATTCACTATTAATTAAAATTTGTAATTCACAACGAAAAAAAAATACATTTTTAAATCCGCCTTATATACACGAAGCTAAATAATAAGGGGATGCTCCTTTTTTACCGATAAAGCAAGCGTTTATGTTAAATGCGATTTTCTACGAATTAGTTGCACAGAATAAAAATTTCTTCTCCACGATTGAATTATCCGTGCTAATGTACTTGCTTCTGGTGTGTTTTGTGTCCAAAGCTGAGAAAAATAATAAATTACAGATTTCTGTATCCATGTGCTATCAGCTCACCAAACATTTACTTCGTGAAAAAATTATATGCACGTTATATGCTCGAAATGAGAGCAGAAGCATATGTAGAATAAAACGACGAATACAGTCATATCTTTAGAATTGAGTTTTAACGTCTAAATAAAAAGATAATAGCATTCTACGAAATTGTGTATCTAGCGCGTGAGAAATCGACGATGTACGACAGTTTAGACTGTTGTAGAGTAACAAATTAGTTCCTGAATATTAATCCAGATGGTGCTGTGAATGAAGTGTCAGACGGGAAAGACGCGGCCGCTGTCAGCTGTGGTTAGCTGACAGCTAGTGTAACGAGGTTATGACTCTCGTATATCGGACGTCGGTGTTAAGTCCAAGACACAATGCGAGGGAATAGCGATAGC